CTACCTTAGGCGTTGAGGTCCATCCCCTTGTGTTCCATACTAACAGAGGACCTATTAAATTCAACGTGTGGGATACAGCTGGTCAAGAAAAATTTGGAGGACTGAGAGATGGCTATTATATTCAAGGTAGGCATCTCAATTATGACTTAAATCGTATTGGAGATTACCCAGTCCGTGTAATCCAGTGACTTTTTGTTTGGTTCTGAGTGTACTGGGAGCTACATAACTCTGCGGTTAAAAAAGATGCTGCTCATAGGAAATTAACTGTCATTTGGGTGGAGAGAGGGAATATAAAAAGTTGTCCTGTGCCATTTAATTGTAAACTTTGTCGTGCTAAGCATTATTTTTCTGTGGAGAGAAACCCACATGTGACAAGGAGGCTTGAAATTTAAAAACAGTAACAAGCCACAGGCTGTTTAACTTTTGTTTGGGGACTTAGGTACAGACAGGTATACATTTTAATGGCTTTGTTCAATCCCATTGAAACTACTTTGAGCAAATACTGGACCAGAAGAGCTGGGTTCTGTATTTTACAGCTATTGTCTGAATACTTGATATTTCTTGCTTGTGCTAATTTTTATATAATATCTCTTTCCCAAGTGTTTTAAGAATTGAAAATAAATGCCCATTGTAGTACCTAACAAAGCATGAATGAAGAAAATACTTTCTTGATGGCAAAATATCTGGGAAGCCTTCAATGAATTTTGCTTTGCTGCTGGAGCATATACAAATAAACGGGTTTTGGGGGGGTTTTGGTTTTTGTTTTTTTTTTAAAGTGTTTCTTTTCTTTTTTTTTTTTTTTACCATTCTGTACTTTACTCAGGTTTATTGTCTTGGGTGGTACCATAACCTATCCTTAGTCCCACCACCATTGAGTTGATTCTGACTCATAGTATCCCTACATGGTACATGGGTTTCTGTGGCTATTTTTGTGTATCTGACCTTTATTTCTCCGCCTCTTACCTGATAGGTCATATATATATTGGAGTTTTTGAAAGAGGCTTAATATTCCCTAATATTTGGAATCATTTAGGGAGTTTTTTGTTCTTTTCAAAGAATTCGCATGCTGCACCCTCAGAATATGATCGGGCCTTGATCTGTTTCAGTTACTTTTTTGGAATGAGGCTATATTAATGAGGTGTCTGAGGAAGTAAAGGAGAAGAGCTTTATTAGTAGCTGGTCTTGCATGATATCTTTTAAAATCTTTTAAATTCATTATAGTGATTAAGATTTTTACAATCAAAAGAACATGAAATAGAGTTCTAAGCGTGACCCATGTCTGGTCTGAGACAACACTATTTCTAGTCTGAGTTCTTAGCATTTTCTTCTTAGATGTATACTAATTATTATGCATACATTTACCTTTTAGCCCAGTGTGCCATTATAATGTTCGACGTAACCTCAAGGGTTACTTACAAGAATGTGCCTAACTGGCATAGGGATCTGGTTCGAGTATGTGAAAACATACCCATCGTGCTGTGTGGCAACAAAGTGGATATTAAGGACAGGAAAGTTAAGGCAAAATCCATTGTCTTCCACCGAAAGAAGAACCTTCAGGTGAGTTGTTTACGAAATTACTAGTTCACTAGTTCTTAAGTAAAATTGGTATATGACACAGATATGCAAGTCTATATATGGGTTGAATGGGTTGGTGTTTTTTTTTAAACTTGGAATGTGTTAGAATCATTGTTTTGGTAACTTCTTTATTTAAAACTTTTTTTTTAAACAGTACTATGACATTTCTGCCAAAAGTAACTACAACTTTGAAAAGCCCTTCCTTTGGCTTGCTAGAAAACTCATTGGCGATCCTAACTTGGAGTTTGTTGCCATGCCTGCTCTTGCCCCACCAGAGGTTGTTATGGACCCCGCTCTGGCAGCCCAGTATGAACATGATTTAGAGGTACCATGTTAAATTTCCATTAATGCTCTCCGATTTATACTATTTCCTAGTGGTTTTAATCTGACCAATTACAACTTTTTCATTGTTTTCTCTAGGTTGCGCAGACAACCGCTCTCCCGGATGAAGATGATGACCTGTGAGAGAACAAAGCTGGAGCCCAGCGTCAGAAGTCTAGTTTTATAGGCAACTGTCCTGTGATGTCAGTGGTGCAGCGTGTTTGCCACTCTTATTATATAGCTAAGCAGAATGTGCTAATCT